ATTCTTACAAACTTTTTCCCACCCTCCCTCTGTGTGGATGACCCATCTTTATCAGGTCGTGAAGACCTTGAGGGTCGGTACGGACAAGGTCCTGGCGGTTCGCACACTCTGGTATGACAAGCAGGAGTTGTACGAGACCAACGGGAAGGGGCGAGGCAAGGCCACCAGCGTCGACGACGGGCGACGTGTCATCACCAAGGAGCAAGAGGATGGACTGCGCGAGTTCATCAAGGGCGAGCACGAGGCGGGACGTCAGGTCTTCCGCCGTACCGTCAAGGATTACTTGGAGTGTTCGTGCGGATTAGAGATGTCGAATCGTGCCGTGGGAGGGTTGCTGCAGCGCCTTGGCTTCAAGCGCCGTAGGGGTAGGATCAAAATACCCCCGTTGAACGAGGAGAGGAAAAACCGCATCCACCTCTTTCTTCTTAGGGTGGAGGGCCGAGGACGCCGGGGTCGCAGTCATTGTGTACATGGATGAGAGCTTTGTTCACCAGGCGCATGGTTCCGCGTACTCGTGCTTTCCTTCTGACGATAAGGGGGTTGTGCAGGATGGGATAGGCCGTACAACGGGGAAAGGTTTGCGTATGATCATGGTGCATGCGATCACGGAGCACGGGACTTTGGCCGAGCTACAGGAGGGATTTCCTATTCGTGAGGGTTGGTTCAAGGCTAAGGAAAATCGTGCGAAGAAGATTAAGCCTGGGGAGGCGGATTTCGAAATGTCAGATGAGCAGACAGCAGAATTTCTGTGGCAGGCCAAGTTGGCACCTGGAGATTTTCAGAGCGCCATGACGGACGGGATGTTCATGCAGTGGTTGAAGCACCGACTTACCCCGGCCTTCGATGCGCAGTTCAAGAACAAGAAGATGTTTCTCGTTCTCGATAGTCTAATGCCTCATACCACCACTGCTTTGACGAGGAACTCAAGGTGCCCGAAACCAACAGTAAGAAGTACAACGTCGAACTCTTGCGTAAGTACGGTTGCACGTTGTTCAAGGTAACGCGTGAGTCGGAGGGTAAGGCTGCTGAGTACAACTTTGAGGTGCCGGCGCAGGGGTCGTTACCCAATGCGAACCGCAAGAACGGCGTCAGCAAAGAAGAGATAGCCTCCGTGACTCGGACGTACTTCAAAAAGAATTTCCCCAAAAAGCTCGAGGAAAAGGCTGAGACGTACATGAGGGAGCAGGGGTGGAGGTTAATTTGGACACCGCCGTACATGCCGACTTTCCAGCCGATCGAGCTGTTCTGGCAGCACGGCAAGCATTACGTGAGCATTCACTTTGAGAGGGGGCGGAACATGTTGGATGTTTGGAAGCAAATCCGTCTCGGTTGGTATGGAGACCCGGAATGGGACGGTCAGGAGAGGGGGTGGAAGGCAGCCAATTGTGGAAAGTTGGTGGAGCATGCCATTGGCAAGATGAATAAGTGGATCGGCCTGTATGGTGGAAGCCTGAGCGGTACGATCGGTAGCCTCGAATATCCAGTGGCAGAGTACCAAGAGGCTATGGCCGAGGATGAGATAGAGGATGGGGTGGAGGAGCAGACGGATGAGTGGCTGGGTGAGGACGCGGAAGATGCCATTAAGGGCTGAAAAAAACGCAAAAAAAAAAACGCCCTTTTCAGGCCAATATATTTCGACTTTGATTCACGAACAGCGACACGAAGGGGGCTGCACAGAAGGTGCCATCCTGAGTGCAAGCTGACGTATTGTTCGATATTTCGCAATTGAGATGGCTGTATCACCCTCGTTCAAACAATACATGGATCACCGGTGCAAGCCCCGGGGCCGCATCGTTTGAACACCGCGCTTCAATTCTTTTGGAACATCGCCAGGTACGATCACACGGGCTCCCAATCTTTTTCTTTAGAGCTAATGTGAGAAACAACAACAACACACTAATTTCGTATTATTACTCGACGACATAGTGCATTTTTTTGTTTTTTAGTTTAGAATGACAGCTCTGTACTTTGTCGTCAATTTGCGCTATAGTTTGTGATAGGGGACTTTGTATTGACGAAGTTACACTATATTCCAATTTGGTCTTGACTACTATGTTCCACCGCGATAGTCATATCCACAAAGTTACACTCCGTTGGAAGCGACGCGCTGCAAAGCTCGTTGTTCATAAACTTGATCGACTTCGCAAGTCGCGAGGGAAGATATTGCTCTACCCTTATCGCGATAAAAATATCTCAGGCAGGAACAGCAGGAGGGGGTCCAACCCCCCCCTCCTATGTGACCCCGGTTGGGTCGTCTAGCTGGTAGAAGTGGAGGATAGGGGCCAGAGGGGCAGACGACAGAGTCCAATGATGGGAGACAAAAAAAAAAGTCTCAGTTTCTGGCCCACGCTCGTCGGAGACGTGTCGTCTCTGACATAAACTACCGCAGAGCGATGAAAATGGCTGTGGTAGGTGCCCAGGAGGTGACAGCATGATACTGTGCTGCTGCTGCCATGTGCTGCTGGCGTCGTGAGGTGATGCCAAAGGGCGTCGACAGATCCTGGCCACACGACCTGGGTGGGCCTGGAGGACGCTTCTTCGATCCGATCAGTCGGTCGGTAGTCGTTATCTGAAATGTTGTACCACCCAACCAACCCATGATGGCGGACGTGATAACTAACAAATGGTTCCCACCTTTCTGCCTCAGGATCAGCAGGAGGGCAAAAAACGGAAAAGATTAGGATCTTTGGTTGGCCCCGCCAGCCGAAAGAAAGACTCCGGGGAAGAGGTACTTCTTCCTTTCGGTCCACGATTATTCACGCCATTCATTTGTCACACATCTCATCATCAAACACCCCATATAAGTGAATGGACATGATGTCGGCCCTCCAGCGGTACAACCTCTCCTACCATATTGAGGAAGCAATCGCATGGAGACGTTTCCAACTGCCCCCCCTCCTCAGTCACTGGAAGGATCTACTGTAGCGACCTGTGATTATTCGTACCAACTGCGCCCCCCAGCCACTGGAAGAATCTATGCGACCTGTGAACATCCTCTCAGCGTTGCCCCACAAAAAAGCCAAATAACAGAAAGAAACTTCGGCCTCATGTCCGCGGGCGACTTGTGCCACCATATGTGAAGTACTTATCACATAGATGTCACCGCGCCGAGGACTGCCCGCTCTCTCGCGCGGCGACTACAATTAATTGCCGCCACCGGGGGGTCTTTCATCCAATCAATCCGTTGATCAACCACGGCCGCAAGTTGACTGTGAGGACCACATACCCCGGTTTCTTCATGCCGCGAGAACTAGAGCTCAAATTGTGATGACCTACTGTCAACAACGCTACCTACCGAAAGAGGAAAACAACGAGCCTCACGAAGAAGTCAGTGCGTTACTGCAAACCTCAGGCAAGGTGCATGGATGTTTCAGCGTGCAACCACGCACGCAACAGATATGAAAGCTGAGACACACGGCTGTTCAAACGTCTACGGATATACTTCACATCTTCCAAAAATGCATCTATGGTAGAAAAATGTAGCTTATGATACAAGCGCACGTGCTGTAAGCCGTAAACCAAGCTCTTCACAGCAACATGCCGGAGGGTGCGGCAGCCCAGCCACTTTCGTGTCATCTAAGAGTGCTTGAACTACCGTTACACCGCAGGCCTGTTCAGAACCGCTCCGACGCGAGCATCCCAAAACGCCAGAAGTTCGCGAAACCGGAGGCCCGAGAGGATGACGCCACCCGCCCACTGCCCACCGCCCCACACGCTGGAGGCGTTTCCCGCTGTCTATAATGTAGCTCACCGTCGGACAATGCCTCATTTATCACCGCCTTGCTGAAGGGACGCGTCCTTGGCAATCTCGCTCAGAGCCGAGGGGTCCCGCTCAAGCGCCCTGTGCGTTAGGCTTACGAGGGCGTCGACTTCTTCGCCGGACACCTCTGGGTACACGCGCGGGCGTTTCGGGCTGCGGGTATCACTCGACCGGCTCGCACTGGTCATGCGCGAAAGGGTCAGCTTGAGACTAGGGGTGCCGCGCGGAGAGTCTTTCGACTTTCTGCGAGCAGCCTGAATGGGGCCAGTTGCTTTGCTCGTAGCGCGGAGTTTCCCCGCTCTAGGTTTGGTAGGCGTTGTCATAGCACGAATGCTGTTGAAGGTGTTGTTGGCGGCATCGGCGATCAGGTGATCGGCCTCGGCAAGGATGTCCTCGGTGCTGCTTTCGGATAACAAGGACTGCCCTCGGCTCATTCTCGCCAATGCTGAGTCTTGCTCTTCCGCCGAGTGACTAGGTTGTCCCCCTCCCTGAATAGCCCCATCAGACGACACGTCGTCCTGTTGCTGACCGTCTGTGCGAACACCCGCATGAGTAACTTTCCCGACATCGTTTCCCTCCCGGTCGTGCTCAGGGCTTGGGCACGCCGTAGGTCCTGGCTCATCATGCTCGGAGGTACCTTTACGAGTCCCCTCTTCACCAACGTCCATTCGACCATCCATCTCCTCCTCCTTACCGCCAACACTTTTCCCACCAACGGCATGTTCGCCATCTACGTCCTCATCAGACCGTTTTGCAAGCCCAGGCCTTGTGTCGTTGGCTCTCTCCGCCACATCACGGGTGTCGCCACCCCCACCACCAATGCTACTCCCGCCGCCATCACCCTTGCGTTCCGCCTCCTTCCCACCAGCGCGTTGCCACCACCTTTGTCTAGCCGCTGCGGCCGCAACATCACTACGCCTTTCGCCCACCTGGCGCCGAGAACGCGGGCGTCCCCCTGGCCTGCGACGCCTCCTCCTATAAACCACATACACCGTTGCAACCACTAGGGCAAAAGCGAGACCTTGAGGGGCCCTCCTGCGGAGAAAGGAAGCGACCACTGCAGGGTTCGTGGCATCTGTGCCTCCGGCGTTCTCCGGACCCTGGATAGCCTCGTTGTTGTTGCTGCATGTGCTTGAGTCCGCCTTCGCCCTCCAGCGAAACAACCATGAGTGCCCCCAAAAAGAAGTTCATCCAGGTTCAAGAGTGGGCCACGGGAAGGAAATAATCAAGGCGGCGTGGGGGGCGAGGGGGTGCCGTTAGATGTGCAGTAGCCTCACCAGCCTGGCACGAAAGAGAAAAGTGGGAATTCTCATAGTGGTACGCGTTTGCACACACCGCTCTCCCTTTCCTGCCCTCAAAATTAAAGTCGCAAAAGAGTCTAGGGTAAAAATACTCTCAGCAGAGCTATGCGCTACCTTTAGTTTTTCCGCCCATCTACGGATGCGAAATCATTTATTGAAACGTGTCGTCGAGAGCACACTCCCCCATCACACGGGCAGAAATGCTTGCCATCTTTCTGATGTACAGAGGTACAATGGTCAATGAACGTTTCAATAACAGCAGCAGCAATGATCATGCGAAAAATCCAAACCAGCACGATGTGCCGAGGCATAAAACTAACTGAAGCGAAAGGGGCACTCGAGATGTTTTGGGGGAATTTTTCATATTTCCTTCCATGATTCATCCTTATTGCGTTTGCGGCGACAAACTCCGTGGAGCTCCACTCTGCGACGTCCGTTATGTGGTGGAGGAGAGCACATGGCAAACAATGGCTTTTCGCCCGAACCTTTTGTTTGGCCTACCTGACTCTTGCCGGGCAGTTTCTGCAATCAACCTCCCATGACTTTGTGGACGTCTTTGCTTCTGCCGCACTACTAGTGAACCGTAGCCGTATGGGCAAAAACACACGCCGCCTAGTCCCGTACCTAGGGCGGAAAGTAATGTATTTGTGGTCATTTTTCAAGCGATTTCTCTTCAGTTTTTTCGTGGCGTTGGTGCCGCCAAAATGTGTTGAATGGCGTCTCTCGTCTTTATGGTTGGTCAGCTAGCAGAGGGATCGACCCCAGTTCGATCAAATGGGGGCTTCGAACTACAACGCAAAGCCATCGGAAATAGAGCTGCAGGAATCGATTGTGTTGGCTCGGCTACTGTCGGCCTGAAAGTTTGATGAATCGTCGATTCCGCTCTCGATAGCATTGAGTTGTCGCTTCGCGACGAGCATATATGAAAAAATAAGGTGCGCCAGCACCAAAAAACTTGGCTGCCAAGAAATTGAGTCTCGAAAAGAACAATATCTACAAGAACTTGAGCACCATTTGTGAGCTTGAAGGGGGTCCAGAATAAGGGTATTGACGTCGGCTCTATTCTTATACATTAATCCAGCATAAGGAAATAAAACAACCTTCCCGCCAGAGGGACCCGGCACTTGGTACAAATATCAGTAGAGGACACCATCAAGAGGCGTCGTGCGCGCGTGCTGGCAGTTCAGGTGTGCTACTGGAGCTAAAGTATCAAAGGTCGAGGCAGCCTCTGAAGGCAGTCCGAAATCTGCGCCGGAACCAGGTGGCATTCAGCATTTGTCACAGCTATAAAAGAGTGTGGCTGCTAGCATGAAAAGGGTACATGTTATTTGTGATAGGATTTGGGTTGGCCAGGAGAGGTATACCTTCGTGGACCCATACCCCCTTAGAATTGTCTACTCTGTGTGCCCCCTGAGATGAAGTTGGATCCCCACTTCATCTCAGACCTTTCTTGCTGGCCTACGTCAGCAGTAACAAGCAACTTTCCCATCTCTACGTGATCGTGGACAAAAGTGTCAACGACAGAACCTTCACCTATCAAGGAGCATGCTACCGTGGACGGCTTCGCCTCCTTTTTACGTGGCGTCAGCGACAGGATTCAGCCGTGCTCACCGTCAGGGACCGTTTAACCCTTGAACGGAGGGTTGCCAGCAGTATAGCTTGTGGCATCAGCTACTACTGCTGCAAACCTGCAGTCCAGGAGATTGGGGTCAGTGGCGGCGAGCACAAGCAGTACGAGACACTGGGTGTCGGTCTTATTTGCCGAGATTTGCGGAGCTTGTTGGCCTGCTACTACACCCACCCTCTATATCACCACCACAGCAGCAGCTATTTAAGCGTGCCCAACACGCACCCCCCGCTGCTATAGGATGTCTCCTCTAGTGATATTAGTGCTATGCACCAGGTTCCTGGCAACGCAGACCATATTGGAGTGCCTGCCGTTTTGCCGCTTTCGACTTGAATTTAGAGTAGTGTGAATTTTTATCTTGATCTCAAAGGAGGCGTGTGGAGGTAGACGCGTGAAATGTATGTTTTGAGCAGACTCCACTGCCGCCCTGTGCCAGAATGAACGATTTCTGTCTCTCGCGATGCCTTCCGACTTGTCTTGGGAGCGTCTCTTGTGCGTTTTGGTGCTCTTGCGTCTGTGTTCAAAACTGGTCAACCAACAAAAAAACTTGTTCTGCACCTCATTTCAAATCTTAAATTCCGACGTTGCGGTGATCATGCGCTACAACCCTGTGCATCAATGTGAGGAACAAACAACCCTCGGCCCAACTAGAACGCTCGCGCATGTAGGGATGTAAACGCAGAAATAAATAGTCTAATAGCAAAACACGGAAACCGTAAGTAAAACACGGAAACCGTGGAAAAACAGAATCGCTGATGCTTCGGATACATTGCTGATCTATCTTAGACTCTTTTCTACGACAGAGATGGATTCGGTGGTCACATTGAGGAAATAAAAAAACATCGCTCTCAGGTACATACCACTTTCCGACAGGCAGACCAGCTCTGTTGCATGAACTGCAACAAAGATCCAGGAATGATTGATAGGTTTGTCCGGAGCCGCAACCCATGCATACCTGCCGTCTGCCGCACTGCAGATGTCTGTAGTTGTCGATTGCTCCTCCCATGCCCTTGCAATGTAGCTCAAGCTCCCCCATCTCATGTTCGACCGGAACTACATACGTTGTCATGCGTCGTCACGCAAGCCAAAGGGGGACCGTACTATGCAATTAGACTGTAGCAACGGACCAACAATTAGTTCATTAGGTGACACACACATATTGTACCAGTCTAGTACGTACCTCCTACAGCAGTAAATGTAGTCTATGCATCATATGAAAAGAGGGACACAGGTCGGTCATTTCGCACCGTGGCTGCCCCTGATGAGGTTGAAGACGTCGGAGCTTGGCGATTCCAAAGAATATGTTGAAGTGGCTTGCAGCGTCTAGAGGTCGGGAGCCAACCTCCGACAACAACACAAGTTGCGGCGCTCATCATATCTTACCGGCTGGTAATCTCAGCGTGGGATAAAACGTACTGAAGACATTACGAAAAAAATAAAAAGGCCGCTGATATGGGCGTGTGTGCTGGTAGGAACATAGTGCCGCCCGCCTCGAAATGCCTTGTTGGTGAGCTGTGTATCTCGATAGGCGTGCTGTGTGTTGCGCAACCGGGAAGCACGTGCTACGCACCTGCTGTACATCATGCATCTGCCTCGACCTTTTGTCATCTTCGTGAGGGAAGCGCCCGTTGAAAAGTATTTCTTGTGCAACGGCGGTCTACCCGCTCTAAAAACTCTCTCTCTTGCGTCATCACCTGATGGGCAGTTTTTCTCCACGCCGACAACAGCCACCTGCCAGACCTAAGCCTCGTCCCTGTTTGTTGGTCACGCGGCTCGCTCCCTAATTCCCACTTGGCTGACTCTAGCACCCTCGACCAGCCCTCCCTCTTTCCAGCAGAGCTCGGCTTTGATGCGGACGCTGTTGTTGCCGGGGTTGCTCGCTTGCTCCATTGCATACAGCACCCACCGTAATCAACCGAAGGTAGATCTCGGCTCGCTCATTACCTTGGGAGCTACAGCTGTGTAGCAGCAGGTGATTCAATGACCCACAGCACCAGTGACCCTTTACGAACTCACGCTATCAAAAACAGGGAGATCCAACTGCACGATACAGCAGTCTTTTGGTGTTTTGCCTCTCTCCGTGATCGAGCGTGTCTTCTTGTGTAAGCACCTTTTCAGTGATACTTGCTGTCCTGGAACACAAGACCTGCTCGGAATTTTTACTGCACTTCCTAATGTAGGCACAGCGCTGCAGACTTGAACCTCTATGCATACATACATAGCAGGCCCGAGACCACGCGAAAAGACGGGATCCAGAAAGTGCCGGGGCGGGTGTGCCTCTGTAGTAGCGTTCCATGGTTGCCCTCTCACTCGCGCAGGAAAAATTCGAGGCGGTGTTCCGTTTCGATCCCTTCCGTTTTTTTTGTGGAGTGTAACTGCCGGGACGGGCATGTGGAAGAAGTGAGGCGGTTTCACGGCTCCTTCCCCACCTATCTCTTTTCTTCTGTCCAATGTGCAACGCATATTTGTTACCGCCGGGGGCATCATGAAGAGGAAGAGACTACAGTGGGGCGGCACAATGCCGCTCTGCTGCAAGAGAAAGATCGCCACGCGACACACGGACTCACACATGCCACTCGGTCTCGACAAAGTACACAGCAGTGTGGGTTGTAACTGGTCACAGAGTGATAAACACAAGTCTGTCTCTTTGCATCTCGAAAAGTGTGGAGACTCCACGTCCACAGGTACCATCTCCCCAACGTCTGGTCGACGACGATTCCCTCTTTCCACAAAAGGTGTTGTTCAAAAACACCGAAGAAGTTTGACGTATCCTAGTGACCTCTACAACCCATGTGCACGACGGCATGGCGCTCCTACTCTACCACTCCTTTTTGTCACGAAAACGCAAGTCCATGTGTTTCACCGAAATGCCGGCACGTATTGAGTGCGGTTGCGGCACAGCTTGTTCCCCACCCGTGCTTTCCAGCAGCATCGTTTGCACAGGCGAGTCTACAGGGGTTAAGCCGAGATCAAACTTGTCCAGAATGTTACAACACACGACCTGACGGAGGGTTTCTCCCCGACGTTTGTGTCGTCGACCTCAATCGATAGAATAAGACTACATGGGAGATGTTCGTGTGTTTGGATACGGACAGGTATTGATCGACCGCAGTAACGGATATATTCGCAGATAGGAACGTAGACATACCATTTTGGGGTTCTTGTGTTTGTGATCCCTGCTTCTCTGTTTTCCGGAAGCACTCTTCTTCTTCTCTTCTCTTGCTTCTGCGTTTCTAATACAAGCGATATTCAGTCTCTCCCTTCCAAGTCGCGGACATATACAACACACTAGTGATCCATCCCTCGAGGGAGTCCATTCGGAAAATGGAGAGCCATGGAGACGGGAGCGAAAATGCTCCCGGTGGTGATCCTGGTGGGAGACCAGATGAGGTTGAGATGCTACGAGGCAAGGTAGCCTCGTTGGAAGCATCGCTGGACAGCAAGTTTGACGGCATGATGGCCATGATGTCGAAGCTGTTGGCCAAAGGAGAAGGGTCAGGCAGCACCACGGAGGGTGCTGCTGCTGGCAGCGGCGCCATGGAGGGCGCCGCAGCTACTGCGGAAGTCCGGAGAGGGGCACCGCAGAGTTGGAGTGGACAGGGCGAGACGTACCTGCCCGAACCTTTGAGAGAGTCTGGTCCTCCTGCGGGAGGGCGACACAGCGGCGAAGCTAGGGGGTTAAACCCCCGAGAGGTGAGAGTAGCCGCTGCTCACAACCAAGGTGGTTTTGGTTTCAGTAGTCCCACGGGGAGTGGTGGTGCTGCTGAGGTTGGTGTGTATGCTGGGGGCGGAGAGTACGCTTACAGCAGTGCAAGATATGCACCAAACAAGTTCAACGGGGACCCAAAGGATTTCCCGACGTGGAAGGAGGATTTTCTCATGATGGCAAATGGTGCTAACCTAGCTCAACAGTTTCAGGAAGGAACGGTGGAAATCCCTGTGCACAACAACGGTGGTCGGACCAAACAAGAGCTGTGTATTGACTACCCAAGCCAGCAAGTAGAACTGGCTTTTCACGCGTGGAACTTTTTGAGCCATGCACTCACGACAGACGAAGACAAGAAGACGATCAGGAGGGCACAGTCGCCTCTGGGGGCGCTTCGGGAATTGCAAGAGATGTATGACCCGATCACAACCATGCAGAATGCAGATGACATGCAGAAGTTATTGGTCAAGAGAATCCCCGATGATCGACACCCCGTGCACACCCTCCGTGATATGCTGACGACTGCCGAACGCCTTAACACGAAAGGCATCGTTGCTAACGAAACTTTCGTTTTGAACCACTTCGTTGGTGCGCTTCCGAACGAGTTTGCCATGACCAAGCACAACCTGCGGCACCAGAAGGTTTTGACGAAAGAAGACGTGATTCGCGAGGTCACAATCGAGTACAATGCGATCACGGAGAAGCGGAAAGCAGCGAAGAGAGGAGCACGGGGCCCCGAGCAGGCCTACCTCGCCAACGGTGGCCGCGGCACGCGGTCATCTGGCCGAGGCTGGGGCCAGGGTCGTGGCGGTGGCCGCGGCAGCAGCGGCGGACGCGGCAACGGCCGGGGCGGTAGCAGCAAAGGCGGAGGGGATGGTGGAACGAAGGAGAGCAAGTCGGACAGTAGTGGGGGAACAGGGGCCGGCGGTCGCGGCGGTGGGAAAAGCGAGATTCCTTTCCGGTGCTTCACGTGCGGTCTCAAGGGGCACAAGTCGTTCCAATGCGAGACCAAGGAGAGCGACTACAACCCGCAATGTGAGCACTGCCTAGGGTGGGGCCACAAGAAGGAGAAGTGTCCTACGGAGGCGGCGGTGCTTGCCGAGGTGGTGAGCGATGTTGATTCCGTCGAGAACCAGGCCTACATGGCGGAGGCAACCCAGCCAGGCGAGTGTGGTCGTACCGTTGATCTTGGTCTAGTGGGAGTAGAGGAACAAGGCCAGGGTGTCATGAGGTACGTGGCCGATTCAGGGGCCACGTGCTCCATGTTCAGAAGCGCAGACGGCTTCAAGAACTACCAAGAGTGTAATCGACGGGTGAAGGGGATTGGTGGAGAATTCCTTCGAATTCTAGGATACGGGGACGTGACCGTAGTCCTTCAGTCGGAAGGCCAAGAAGTACCCGTGCCGATTAAGCGTGCAGCCCATGTGCCAGGAATGGACTTGAACCTTATCTCGCTCACTTCGTTGACCGAGGAAGGCCACACGTACGCTGGAAAACCGGGGGGGCTAGTGCTAACCACGAAAGCAGGGAAGGAAGTGTGGTTCCCCCAACTCGGAAAATTGCTCTCTCTGTGGGGCTATCAAACCGAGCCCGAGGTAGACACCGCCTGTGCCGCTATTATTGTTCCTGGCGAAGCGAAAGCCGCCACCCCCACTGACCTCAACGAATTCCACAACTCGCACGGCCACGCTCACGAGAGGTTGCTGAGGCTCACGGCGAAGCAGCAGGGAGTGGAGCTGACGGGAGGGCCGCTCCTGAGCTGCACCGGCTGCTCTATGGCTAAGGGGCAGGTGAAAGCCGTTCAGAGATTCACGGACACACGCGCAGTTAAGAAACTGTTTCGAGTTTTTATCGACCTGGGGGGGCGGATGCAGTTCCATAGCATCGGGGGCAGATGGTACACCCTCATCATCAGATGCGATGCCACCCGTTGGACGCGCGTGTTTTTTCTGAAACGCAAGTCTGAAGCAGCCGACGCACTCGAGCAATTTATCGCGGATTACCGGTCGGAGGGTACTCCGTGTGAGGTGTACGTTGTGCGTTCAGACAACGAATTCCAGGGGCAGTTTTCGAAGACTTGCCGGAAGTGGGGTATCAAGCAAGAGAAGACCCCCCCGCACACCCCCAAGTACAACGGTGTTGCGGAAAGATGGCTAGGCATCATTAGTGATGCCGCACTAGCGTCACGCATTCAAGCTAAGGAGATGTTCCCTGACGCGCCAACTGACCCGGCCTTGTGGGCTGAGGCGATCGCATGTGCATGCCATCAACTGAACTGCACCGCCACCACCGCCAACCCCGGGGACAAATCTCCGTATGAGATGTTCCACGGGAAACCGCCCCCGGCCGGGTCGGTGTACCCGTTCCTCAAACCGGCGGTGTACAAGGCACGAAGAGAGAGAAAATCGCACCCCAAGGGCCGAAAAGGATGGTACCTCGGACCGGCCCACAACCACCCCCGTGATTGCGTCCGCATGCTAACCGAAGCTGGAACCGTAGTCACCACCCGCAACTTCACTTGGCGCCACGTACCCGCTGTTTCGCCCGTTCCCCCGCAGCTGCCCCTCGCGGATATTGGGGAGGGAGGGGAGGGCGAGGGCAGTGAGGACACGTCGAGTCGAGGTGGAGGGGGGGAAGAGGACTTGGCGAGTGAGTCCGACCTCGACATGACGGAGATCCGTGGGCCGGGGCGTGCGACACTGCCGGCGCGCGAGAATGCGCCGGCGGTACCCGGCAACGGGATCCAGGGGGACGAAGGTAGTGCTCCCCCGTCGCCCCATTTGGGAGGGGGCGATTTTGGTGGCGGCGATGGCATCCCCACCAGCAGCAGCAGCAGCAGCGACAGCAGCAGCAGCAGTAACAGCAGCAGCAGCAGCAGCAGCAGCAACAGCGACACCAGCGGCGGCGGCGGTGAACCCGAAGACTCCGGCGGAGAGGCCGGGGGAGCTGGGGGCTCCGACGTCGACGGCGAGGATAGCGGCGGCAGCGACGACGGCGAGTACAAATACGACCCCGCCGATACCCGCTACCCCCCCGGGACGCAGGGAAAGAAACTTCTCTGGGGCGCCTCGAAGGAGGGCCCACTGCGCTACGGGCTGCAGCGCGGTCGCACCCGGAAGCAGACACGGGAGCTAGCGGAGGCCGAGAGGACCGCCGAGGGTGCCGCCGAGGAGGCCGCCGAGGAGGCCTTGCTGTCAACAGTCCTGGAGGTGGAGGGAGGCGAGGAGCTCGTCGCCGAGTATCTCCAACGGTCGTTGGTGGAGGAGCGCCAGATGGAGGAAATGGCCCTACAGGCTGAGATTGAAGAGATGATGCTGCAGTCGGACGTGCCGGTGGAACGTCCTTTCAACATCGACTGCAGCAACCCTGAGCTAAGTATCCCCTCGCCAATCGGGCAGAAACCTAACGATGTAGAGGCTCTGCCGTTGACGTACGAGGACGTGAAATGGTCTAAGTACAGGAAGCAGTGGGACGAGGCAATCAAGAAGGAGATGGACGGGCATGAGAAAACAGGGACGTTCTCTAAAATCGAGAAGCTCCCTGAAGGTCGGAAGGCAGTCAGTACGAAGTGGGTGTTCGATTACAAGACTGATGAGAAGGGGTTGATTACCGACTTCAAGGCCCGTCTGGTTGCTCGTGGTTTTTCCCAAGTCCACGGACAGGACTACCACCACTCTTCATCAGCGTGCCCAGCCGTTTCATCGATTAAGCTCGCGATGGCCTTTGCCACAGAGGGCGGCCTACCCACACGCCATTTCGACATTAAGCAGGCGTACACGCACGCAAAGATCCAGGAAGAACTCTATGTGCGGATTGCCGATGGTAGTGGTGCCATGGCTGGCAAGGTGCTCAAGGTAGAACGGGCACTGTATGGTCTGAAGCAGAGTGGGCGTGAGTGGGGTTTTGAGGCTGCTAATATCCTGGTGGATAGCGGGTACGAGCAGTGCAGGGCTGACCCGTGTGTGTTCCGTAAGATCGTGGATGGGAAGGTAGTGAGCATCATCGTGATCTACGTGGACGACATCATGTACGTAGGGTCGGAAGAAGAGGGCGAGGAGTTGCTCACTTCCCTGCGTAAGACACTTCCTGTGAAGGATTTGGGGGAGTGCACCTGGTACGATGGATGTGCGATTGAAAGGGATTTGGAGTTGGGAACGACCACACTGTCCCAGAAAGCGTACATTGCAGGACTGATGGACCGTTTTGGGATCACGACGACCGCATCCACCCCCGCTGACCCCAATGCCGATCTAGGGCCGAAGAGAGATGACGAGCCCGGGGTGGATAAGCCAGTGAGGCAGGCGATCGGATGTCTGATGTGGCCTGCGACATTTACGAGGCCGGACATCGCCACCGCTCTGAACGCAGTGCAACGGAACGCTCATGCGCCCACCATGCGAGACTGGAAGGCGCTCGTGCAGATCCTGAGCTATCTCAACGCCACGATGGACCTCGGCATCACCTACGTTCGGGGTTCGGGGCTAGACCTAGAGGTGTATGTTGATGCCAGCTACGCCGACAGGGACACCGGCAGGCGTTCGGTGACGGGAATAGCCGTAACTGTTGGTGGTACCGTGGTCAGCCACGCTAGCAAGACGCAGCGTATCGTGTCTCTGTCGACCTCGGAGGCTGAGTACATTGCAGCCGGGGAAGGCGTGAAAGAAGCCTTGTTTGTGCGTGCGGTGCTGTCTTTCATAGCGCCTGAGACGAGTGGGGCGAAGATCAAGGTCCTTGAGGACAACCAGGGGGCGATATCGTTGGTGCAGAACCCCTTTAGCTCGGCGAGGAGCAAGCACATCGACGTGCGGTTCCATTTCATTCGAGAGCTGTTCAAGTCGGGCAGAATCTCCGTCGAGTACATCCCGACTGACGAGCAGCACGCCGACCTTCTCACCAAGGCTCTTGGTAGGACCAAACTAGAAGACCACCGGAATGCTCTGATGAACATCCCGGGGTAGTGGTCTGTTTTTTTTTTTTTTGTTTAGCACTGGACTTTATGATCATGGTACGTCACGCAGGAAGGATTTACCGGCACGTCACTCGAGGTTGGAGCCTAGAAGCGCCCGTAGCGCTACCGAGAGATGCGTAATCCCCGTGCCCGGTACAATTTGTCCTGCCTTGATCTTGTCTTGGAAGTGCGGCCGTTGGAATCCTCCGTGATAGCGACGGTTATATATGTTTAGGGTAGGCGAGGGTTTTTGATCCGGATGGCCGGGTTTTCCCTTGCACCGTTACTGTTTAGAGTCCCTAGGTCTGATCAGGGGTAACCATGCCCCACGGATGGTTTGCCACTTGCGTGAAAAACCAGGGAGGGTGTTCGTGTGTTTGGATACGGACAGGTATTGATCGACCGCAGTAACGGATATATTCGCAGATAGGAACGTAGACATACCATTTTGGGGTTCTTGTGTTTGTGACCCCTGCTTCTCTGTTTTCCGGAAGCACTCTTCTTCTTCTCTTCTCTTGCTTCTGCGTTTCTAATACAAGCGATATTCAGTCTCTCCCTTCCAAGTCGCGGACACATACAACAGGAGACGTCTTGTGATTTGTACCTATGCAGTGTTTTTGTGATCAGCACCCGCTGGCATCACTGATAGAAATTCAGTGAAAAGGCTTAAATAGACCCTCAATATGCCCTGAGTATCCCGCCGGTTTTCTTCCCACTCACCGGAGAGACCTCAACACATCCCCTTCGACTACTGTGGTCTATGGATAGGGTTTCTTCGATGTATGCATACCAGCATGTACCAAAACCACCGGACCATTAGTCAGCACTAACTGGGGGCTTCCACAGATCTGGGCCTAGTCGCACACCGTTGAGCCGACACCCATCCCCAAACAAAGCCATTTGTCTGTACCCCGCCCGGCGGCATTACACTAACAGCAACGACGACACACGGTTAAACCCGTGAACGACAGCAAGAAATAAAGTCGCCGCGTGCCTCCTCACAACACCAGCAGAGGGAGAGAGAAAACGCGCTACTTCTTCAACCGAAGCAACAACGACTTGTTCCCCTTAATCTTTTTCTGCAGCTGGAGAAGGCCGTAAAGAAGAGCCTCCGCCGTCGGCGGGCAACCCGGCACGTAGATATCCACCGGCACGATGCGGTCGCAGCCACGTACGACCTGGAAATCATTCAAAAAGAGGGTGGAAGAGGCATAAACACATGCAACGTAAACAAATGTACACGGGGTCAGTAAGCGTTCTCGTCTTGGCCCGCCGAAATGAATTGGCATGGTTGTGGGGGGGGGCGATGGCAACCAGAAGACACATGCACAAGAACACATCCATCCCTTGGGGGTATGTGGCTTGTTTGCTAACGGGGAAGGGGCAGAAGCAGTTTGGCCTGCTTGTTCCCATTGATGAGTCGTCAAGCTTCGTCCATGCACGTGAAATATGCCAATATCTACGCACCACGAATCACGGCCGACTGTGAAATCGCAGGCAGAGCGAGAACAAGCAAAATCGACGGCACACATCGCGTTGACGCCGACTTCCGCCGCTCGCCAAAGACGGCATCCGTTGTCCGGCCTTCTCAATTATCGTCGGTGTCATGTGCACACGCTCAGGAATGTACCCATGGTTGGGGCAAGGGAATGTGTCCGTTGACACGATGATGTATCCGTTGATACATTGCTGTGTCTACCGGAAACCTAGCGACCCGGTTTCTCACGCTAGTTTACTCGTGTGTCACATAGGTAAGGCACCGACGTTGGATATCGAGCCGAACCCAAGGCGTGAAAAAAAAAGAGTACATCGGGAAGTCGCACTGGTCCCAAGTTGAAAGCATGCAAAACCAGCATTTTCCCCGTACAACATGACAACATCAGTGTGTATTCGAGAGGGAAACGCGTCCGGTCGACAAGAGTCTGAACATGCCCCTAGTATACCCCGTTTCATCATCGCGCACACCACTCGACCGCTTACCGAGTACGAGTAGTGGTAGTAGCCACCCCCGTTCGCGCAAGACCCCATGGACACCACCCAACGTGGCTCGGGCATCTGATCGTAAACCTGCCCGGGAGACACAGAACGAAGGCGGTGAGAAAAAAGGAGCAAGTGTTGCTCCAAAACACAGCATCACGTGGAGAGATACTCCCAAGACCCCATCCATGCCAAGGTAGACGGCAGGAGACAATGGTGACGTAGTAGGCGGTGGGATCTATACGGATGACGCATGCGCAGGAGTCTCGCCGTGCCAGCGATGTCTTCCTGGCTTGTAGTTACTACGAAGTATAAATCATGACTTCTGTTGTTGGTCGCGGCATCGACACATACATACAGCACGGTCTTGCCTGCTCTACTACTCGGGAGCTAAATAGAGCAATTTCCTCTGCGGTGCACGCCTCCTTTTGATTTCATCGGTGAAGAGGATTTTGGAATCCCTTGTTTCACTGGCTACAAAACAGGTTAACCAGAGAGATCCACGAGAGCGTCTAGTCCCAGCAAGGTACAGCACAAAAAAACAAAAAACAGGTGTTGTGTGTACCTTTTGTTCGATCAACCATCGGTGAGATTGGTTCTCAACCGAACGGAAGAATTTCGGTCGTTTTCCGTAAAAAACTCGGGGCACACCACACAGATAGGAGAGCAGAATTCCAATAAAATGATGCTCCACACATGAGGAAGGGCGGGATCGTGTGCCGACAACCAATTTGCCCAACGGTGGGGGGGGG